ATAACTGTAATAAAGGAATCCAGGCTGCTATCATAACTGAAATAAAGGAATCCTGGATTTATTTAAGGTGGGAGCGCTACATAACGATGCGCATAATTCATAAGTGCACATCAGGATCCCCACAGAGGGATGGATTTCAAAAATGGGCCAATGAGCTTCTATTTGTCTTGTGACGCTGAAACTTTGAAACAGTGCATATGAGTGCATGTTGTTTTTTACGTTTTATTTTGCATTTGTTTCGCAATTATAAAGTTATTACGTATAAATATTGCTATCATTGTAGTAGAAAATCTTGTAGTGATTTCATTTTGTAAGTTTATTTAATCATCAACATTTCACTTTCGCGAAACTTATTGATATTCGAATCAATTATCGTTCTTTATCGTTCTTTATATCGAGAAAATAACTCAAGCTACAATTACACTGGCATATTATGCATTTTCCAACACCTGTGGATTAAGAGAATTCAAATGTGTAATATTTTTATTAAGCTGAGAATAACTAAAAGTGTTACAATGAATCTAGAATTTTCTTATTTCTGTACTTGCATTCCTTTGATTTTGAAAGTGTAAGATTTGAAATATCTGTTGCGGATGATCTGATTATACCTGATGGTAACACTAAAAATTATATATGAATAAATTAAATATATTCGTTGTGATTAACATAAATTCATTCTGTTTGAAGAGTATTTCTTGTGTGTGAAATATTTTTAAGAGTGAACAGTTATTAATGTGAAATTTAACACACTAAATGTGTAGGAATGCTAATTAATAAAGTTCACTTCGAATAAAAGTGTGCATTTGCTATTATTATAGAACATTTTTCTTTATATAGACTGCAATAAAATAGTGCTAAAACTTATATTATTCACATATATAATTATACGTATATTTGATCTAACTTCGCACTAAAAATTTTCACAAGAAATCCACAATGCTTTAATTATTTTGTACAGGAAATTGCGTGGCAAAACATTTTTAATCATCTTGCTTAAAAGCACGGCAAAAGGTCATGTGAAATGACAGAAATATTACTGGAAATCCATTTGTCCATTTTAGAAGCCACTCTATCGGTAGCGATACAGATGTGCGTTTATGAAATATGTTAACGGTGCTCTGTCACAAATGTCTTGGCACATTTGTGAAAAGGCGTCGTTACGAAAATGTCAAGGATCCAATTTTAACACGGGGTTTCAAACAAAAAAGCAGTTCTTTGTCTTCTTTCAGCCCTTTTTTCAAAAATGGTAGCTCATGAGGACATTTTCATAACGATGCCTTTTCATAAATGTGCTAAGACCTTTGTGACAGACCACCATTATATAGCAATTCCAGCTCAATTAAATCCAGGCTGCTATCATAACTGCAATAAAGGGATACACATCCTAGACTCTACGAATTCTCCCTTAAACTTTTTACAAGATATTGCTAAATGGCAATAAACAAAACATAACAAAGAAAAAAATTAAGACCGCTTTAAACTAACAAATGCTAGCATAGGCCCGTGCTTTGTATTGCAGTGCAAATCAACCGATGTCGGCATTTAGTAATTTCGTTTTGGTCAAACAACATGCCTTATGAAGTTCGTAGGTAATCCTTCAAAATTATTGCTGATTTTGAAGTAAATCAATAAGCCGAATATAAAAATGAAAGCCGAAAGTTAAACTGAGACCTTTCATTCGAAAAACACAATTCACAAATTGAAATTAGTGAATCTCAGTGTGTTTAAAAAAGTTATATAACGAGAGAAAAGATGCGGAAGCATTGCATTCCGCATCTTTTCTCTCGTCATCTTCAAGTTAGTCTAAACAACTTAAAAACGTGGCAAGCGGTTTCTTGCACGTGCCTTTTTTTAAATGACTTATTCCTGATATTTTTTTATCATGCTAATATATAATAATACATTTTTAAGTAAATAATAGATAGATTTAATGTAAATTATATAATAGATAGATTTAATGTAAGAATATTAAAAAGTCTTATGCAAGGGGGGAAGGCGAAATTTTACCTTTTCACCTTAAAATCTTCGCATCTTGTTTCACCAATGAAATTCATTTAAAGAAGATTGCTCTTTTTTATATTAAGTGCGAAAATTTTCTGCTATTAATGTTTTCGTGTTCTTCAGAAGACTAATCACAGTCCTGAGTTTGCTATCTCAGTAATGGAGACTTTTCTGATTGGATGTTGCTTTCTATGTTAAGAGCTATAACATATATACGATCTTATCTTATGGGAGCAATATGGGCCCAAGAGCCTGTAAGTAGCTTGCACAAAAAAAAAAAAAAAAAAAAAAAAAAAAAAAAAAAAACTTTCAGAAATCTTCTTTACGATCACATTGTAGAATCATTAGGTTAATTGGAAGCAGAAAAGATGAAAAATATGCAACCGCCTTCGCCGGGATTCGAACCACGGACCTCTGGAATACCGGCCCAACTTGCAGAACCACTACACCACGAAAGACGCTAGGAAAGTGGGAGAAATACCTTATATACTCCCCTTTTTAAAGGGCGACTAGGGTTTTAGGGGATCTAGTCGCCAAATCCTGGGTGCGGAGAATCATCATCCACAACCCTTTTAGTTCGGGCGCCACTGTAGAGTCATTAGGTTAATTGGAAGCAGAAAAGATGAAAAATATGCAACCGCCTACGCCGGAAATCGAACCACGGACCTCTGGAATACCGGCCCAGCGTGCAGAACCACTACACCACGAAGGACGCTAGGAAAGTGGGAGAAATACCTTATAACATAAACCCGAAGTATGCGTAATAAATGTTTTAAGAGATATTATTTCTTTATTTCATATTACCTTTCCTCTCTGTAATAGCTTTTGAAGCGAATCAGGGGCTCTTGAGTTCAACTTTTGTTGTTAACTTCTGAAAGGAGTTTCCTTCCATGATACATGTTAATGCCAAAAAACAACATTTACAGGGATGTCTCCACTCGGTGCGGAACGTATGTCCTTTTCAATCTGTTTTTCTTTAATGTATATCGTCGGCAGTATAGTATTTTTTAAATTAATTAATTAATTTTAGGTCATCAAATATAAACATTCTTCAATAAAGGAAATTAAAAATATTCAAAATGAGCATGGTAATTTTTTTACTTATATATCATTGAGTAAATGAAGACTGATGTAAAATTTTGAAGAAAATTATATGACAAATATTCTTACACGAAAGCAGTTCATTTTTATTCCGATTTTCATATATATTTCACATAGCAGTTTTTATTTCATCCCGTGCTTTTTATTCGAAAATCATTTCTACGATTTCATGAAGAATTATGTATAAGTTTCCATGTAGTCGTTTTATATGCTTTTCTTTCATAATCTGTTAGAATCATTACACTTTATAGAAGCATTCTTAATTTTTTATTTGTTTACAGCGACTGAAACATGCATCTCTTTGAAACTTATATGAAACGCTTTAAAATGCATGTTTTTCTGTTTAAGAAGTTTACAGAAGTATTAAACAAGAAGAAAAAAAAAAAAAAAAAAGTATCTTAAAAGTGAAGAGTTTTGTTAATAAGGCTGGTTTTCCCTCATTCAGCTTGTGTGGAAGAATCCAAATGTATGAATATAACATGTAAAGACGTGAAAGCGAAAGTTTCAGTATCCTTGACACATGGAAAAACCGAAGAGAAACAACAGAGTGCCAAACATGACATCACTTATATAATAGTTACCACATTGGGAAAGAATTTGCGCGAAGATTTAAGACAGTGTACCTTTATCATGAGTAGCTACACATGCTAAACAGCAGTTTGATGTGTTGTTAATAAGGTTCTACAACAGTTCCTGGAGTAGGAATCACATTCTTGAACAAACTGATTTTATTTATTGACTGTTCCATTGTGAAAATATCGTGAGGTCTTAGGTGTGGCTTAAACAGACTTCATATATGAGTATCGTCCATTAAGTGGATTTTAGGTATCCCAGGGTATTAGAGGTCTCACTTACATAATAGCACTCTAACATAATCCTGAAATGATACCATCTTAGAAAAATAATCCTCTTCCTTAGTGTTCCCATTCGACAATGTGAATAGATTTATATCATCGTCTCTGGAACTCGCCATACGTAAAAACATCGGTAATTACGTATTAGGTTAAAAAAAAATTCATTAGTAAACAATACATTGATCCTTTATTATGGTATTTGTATTTTTACATTATAATAATCAGCAATTATCTAATTAGTGCGATCTTCTGTGCTAATTAGTAGGGTCGGACTTATGGCCACATATGATTTTGTCAACAATTGTCTAACCAATGCATTTGCTATGCTAATTAGTCGTGATGGACGTATGGCCACATGTGATTCAATCTTGCATTTATGGCAGGTGACTAACCTCAACCATGACTCTGAACATGTATGCCAGTTTGGAACATCAGCTTGGTAGAATATTGAATTCTTGGAACATTTGTATCTGAATATGGGCAGGCGTATTCTCCCGATGAACATATACGCATAATGTCATCAATGTGGTTTCTTTATGCCATTATTTTTTAGTTTAATAATTGGCTTTTCTCAGAAAATTGTCCTTTTTGAGGAATGTGTTTTATGGGGGGAAAGGTAATAAAGTTCTTTTTAATTACAATGATTCTTCAAATATTAACTATTCTGATTCTGTAATAATATCCATTATTGAAAAATTCTGCGTAAACAGTGAAAATTATCCTTAAATGATAATTTCCGTTATTTCGTTCAAGGACTTATTGTTAGATTAATATTTCATGACAATAGTGAAAAATATGCACTCTTCAGAATTCTGCAACTTAGAACACGTATGTATCAAATTAGGTTACTTGGCAGTAAGATCAATACCACTGGTAGTATACTGATCTCAAAAATGATGTATAAAAAATAGTAATCTTGTAATTAATTTTGAAGTTTATTATAAACTTAACAATTCTCTAAATTTTCTGAATTTTTGTTTATTTGCATTCTAATTCCACAGGTTTTAAGTTTTAATAATATGATTTTTTTTACATTCTAGGTTGAAGAAATTAGGGAGAACATTGAAAAAATCCAAGGCAATGTTGAAGAAGTCAAAAAGAAACACAGTGCAATATTATCAGCACCACAAACAGATGAAAGTAATTATATGGCTTATGTAATAGTTGTGAAATTTAAAATGTCGTTTTTTGAGTTTTCTAACTTATTTTTTCATATTGATCAATGTGTTTGTTATTAAGGTTTATTTAAACTATTAAAAAGGAAGTTTAACAAAATTTTAATTGTTTTAAGGAAATTTTTAATAGTTTTAAAATATATAAGGGCTTATATTAGCATTAAAATCTTTATGTTTTAGATTTGCAGTTGATGATATTAAATAATAAAATCTTTACTGAATGAGTAAGTAACCTTGTAAAGTATGTGAAACTTTCCACGAATTTTAGCATCTCATTTTAAGTATTATTTTTAAAGAAAAAGTAATATCTTAATGTGATTTCAGTTTTTCTAGCATTCAAAAAAAAAAAAAAAAAAAAAATTAAGATTTTGGGAACACAGTACAGTACAAAGTCTACGATCCTGACTCCAGGAAGGCCACCTCTTTTTTTTTTTTTTTTCTCCCTACAATGATTAAGAATAAAGAATGTAATACTCAAGGAAAAGATGGTATACTGTAAAACTCTGAAAAAGATGGTATACTTTTTCTTTTGACTATCTGAGATTCTTACATGTCACTCTCAAACAACTGAGGCTAGGGAATTGCACCAGGCCCAGTGACAGTTCAATCAATGATTGAAGCTGGCCATGCCCTCACTTTCGACTCTTGAGTGGTTGTGGGGAGAGTTAGCATTTTATTCATAGTGTCTTTCGGACACAATAACCTAGTTAAGATGACTCAAATATTTGAAAAGTATGCTCATAAATTAAAAACTCGTACTGACAATATTGATAAACAGTTTATGTGTTTTGAAATGTTAACGAAATTAAAGATTAGTGCAAATAATTCAGTTGAAAATATTGTTATGAAATGTACAGGCGCGGTAAAATAGCTTCTCCCCAAAGCAGTTTTAGAATTGCCATAAAATGGCAAGATAAGGCAGGGTTGCCACATTTGGCGAGAAATCGCCCAGTTGGCGACAAAACTGGCGATATGCCATGGACGGATGAAGAACCTTCTGGAACGAATTCTTACCGGTTTAGCCCAGAAGGTTCAAGAATAACTGTAGTTTTGAATTCATTTTAAATTGCTTCGCCTCTTCAGCTAACATTTATATTGCAGCTTTGCAATACCCAATCACTGTGATTGCACTAGCATTATTGACTTTTTCCTTCAGAATAATAATACTGTCTCCAATGGAGCTTGACAGTCTATGTGAACTTTCATCTGATCAAAATCCTGTTATAAAAATCAAAATCCTGCTACTTATATTAATCTCCATCAGGAGGTTAATATAAGTAGCTGTAACATGCCACATGGAAGAGCCTTTATTACTAACTGCCACGGCTCTTAACAATACTTTGTACATATTATCAATGGCACCTAGTGAAGATGGGTTAGATGCTTTAGTAGAAGATTTCACTAATACTTTGAACCATTCACTCAAAGAAAACAGCAAGCAGGTCCATGGCCCAAAAGATCAAGTAATACAGAAATCAGAGAACTCATAAAATGAAGAAACAAATCCAGGAAAGTCTGGCAGCGCTGCCCAAATGATAAAAGAATTGTAAATGAACTCCACTAGGAAGTCAGGTTTTTACCAACTCACATGCACGAAGATATTGGTCTAGATATTTAGAATCATTTTCCAGTGATGATCAATATATTTGGAAAGCAGTTTCTAAATATAAACGATGGTACACCAGGCATTTCGCCCCTTAATGGCCCTAAGGGATTGCATATACTGAACAGAAAACTGACTCTTTTGCTGATAACTATTCATCTCAATTTTGCACCAACAACATATCTAACATAGATACGGAACCCTCAGTTAATGTCACAAACATTCAGTATTTTATACGGACCCACACTGACAACATCCGTCTTGTTAAACCCTCGGAATTTGTTCAATATATTGAGAATTGAATAGATGAAATTAGTAATAAAGTGATTCGTAAAATGAGTAATGTGATGTTATTTAAATTAATTAATATTATCAACCAGATGCTCACTTTGAAGTATTTCCTTAAAAAATGGAAAATGGCCATGGTTTTTTTTTTCAGTTTTCAAGCTGCCAAAACCTGTAGCAGACCCTTTCATACAGACCTGGGAGCCTGCTGTCCACACTAAGTAAAATTTCAGAAGCAATTATCCTGAAAAGAATACTGGAATGCATCGACACCAGCGATATTAGCATTCCACAGTAACACAGATTTAGAAAGGAACACTCTACTTCACATCAACTGTGTCAAGTGACAGAATATAACGCTGAAGGACTGCAAAATGGAATCAGCACTGGAGCTCTTTTTTCTTGATATATCGAGGGCTTTCGATCAGGTTTGGCTAGATAAGCTACTCTACAAACTTATTGCTCTGGATTTCCAAGATTATATTATAAACATCACCAAATCCTGTCTTTACCATAGACACTTTGTCTTTTGCTACAAAAACAACATGTTCTCCATACAAAGGTGCACCCTTGCAGGTGTGCCACATGGCTTGTAATCAGCTCGATATACTTCTTAATTTATGTGAAAAATATTCCTTAGCTACCTTACACTACACTAGCCATGTATGCAGATGATACTGCGATCCTTGCAAAAATGCGTTTGGAGACCAGTTACCCAAGCACTACAATTACACATCCACGCACTAGAGACCTTTCTACAAAAATGGAAAATTATGATCAACATTGATAAATCTGAAGCCATCTTTTTTCACCAAAAAGACCAGAATTCAGCAAAAAATCATAATGTTTGACAATGTTATTCCATGGGCTATTCATATCAAATATCTAGGAGTTATACTTGATAAGAGATTAACATGAAAGCACCACATTACACAAGTAATTACTAAGCTCCAAGCCACTAAAAACAAACTGTCCCTCTTATTTTCTTGGAGGAACACCATTTTATCCTTAGAAAATAAATTACTCCTTGATAAGACCATGTTGCATCCCATTATAACTTATGCATGTCCTCTGGGAGATTTTGCCAGCAATGTGCATATGAATCAAATACAAATTTTACAAACATCACCCTGAGGCAAATGACAAAATGTTAATTTATTCATAATGCTGCAATCCACGAAGAATTTAAAATCCTACATATTAAGAACTGTATGACCAAAATTGTGAAGATAATACTGTGTCAGTGGTTACTGTTTGCCTTTCTCCAACTTTTGTCTCTGCCTGCCACCCCCAAAAAAATATAGCTCTGAATTCCTGCCCCCTATTGACTGCACAAAAGAGAAACTGCACTGTGCTTTCTCCTATCCAATCCTCTGGCTGCTGCAAATCTGCTGATACGATACTCCTCTCAATCTGATGAACAGTTCTACCAACACAGCAGTTGATTCCACAACTGACTCTTGGGAGGTATAATTTTATAAATGAAGGCATTCTCTCCATTGCAACTTTATAGATTGACTCTGTTCTTCAACTTATGAACTTTTTACTAATTTGGACTTCAGTTCTTTAATGTTCCCACATACTTTAATTGTACAAAATGCTATGCTTATCCAAGATATGCTCACTACTTTCCACATGTTATACACAGAGTAGGATGATGTCCAGGAACCTGCCTGTATGGCTGCATCATCTAATGAGTTATCATTTTTCTATCTGACACCTAAACAATAAGTGAAGACCAAGACATATTTGCTTGGTGTGGGATGTTGCTCATACTGGTTTTCTTTTTTTGGCATAGCTGTAGAGAATGGAGGAACTTAAGTTCAGTTGACATAACAAATTGGCCCCTTAACTTACTTATTGGATCTAGCTTGTTATTTTTGCAGGCTATTATTATTAAAGCTATCTTATCAAAATTAAAGTTCAAATTTTCAGTTGTATCCCATGAGTTACTAATTCTGAAACTGCAGTGGGATCTGCAAAATGAAAGCATGTTTGTATATCAGTCAAGTAAAAAGTACAATTATTGTAAAAAATGGGTAAAGGGATATCTTTCTCAGAATTATGTGAAAAGTATGGCATTAGAAAAATCAGCAGTATAGGACATTTAAAGCAAAACAAAGGGGAAAGGAGCTTTTTTAATTTTTTGTGAATTTTGACCTGCCACTTGCAATGAATAGTATAAAAATTATATGGTATGCTAAAAGTGGCAATCATGACAAATTGATGATTAAATGGGGAAGAGAGCGTAGCACTGAGAATGTGCTTTTGACGGATCCTGTGCTAATGACTCAAACTAAAATATTGAAGAAAATGGACTTAAAAACTGAGTGCTTATATTCCATAGATTGATTAACCAAATTTTAAAATCGCCATTTGATTTCATATGAAAAAACTTCAGCGGATACTGCAGTAGCTGAGCAATCTGCAAATGACTTTGTTGAACTCATTAACAGCAAAATGTTGTCTCCAGAACAAATTTATTAGAATGACAATACTGTTTTTTTTTTTCGGGGGGGGGGGGGGAATATATGTCGCGAAATACCTCGGCGACCTTTGCAAAGTCCCAATTGGTGTCAGAGATTACAAAGCAAAACTAATAATGAAAATAATAATTATAAACTAGTAATGAAATTAATAATAATTATTATAAACTAATAATGAAAAAACAAATATTTGTGATCGAAATTGGTTTTATTGTTTTTCGAAATATTCTCCATGAAGATCAATACGCTTTTGCATGCTATTGAACCAATTTTCGAAGCACTTTTTCCACTCTGATTGAAGTAACTCCAAAACATGCGTTTTTAGTGCATCAACCGCTTCTTTGGATGTCGCAAATGTCTGACCACGTAATTTATTTTTGATATGCGAGAATAGAAAAAGGTCATTAAGGGCCAATTCAGGGCTGTACAGCAGATGATCCATAAATTTGATGTTTTAGCCCGTCAAAAATTCTTTTGTTTGAGCCTATGTGCGACAGTTCGCATTGTCATGATGAAGAATGACTCGCTTCATTGCTTTTTTCCAATTTCTCCGATGACTTCTGGCAAACAAATGATTGTGTACCACTCGGAATTGACTATCCTGCGTTGCTGTAACGCTACTGTCGCCACGTAATCGGTAATGCCGAAGAAACAGGCAACCATTTGCTTCGATGTGTTTTTTCCGCGAACAACTTTTGTTGGATTTCGCACGTCTTGGAACCCATACAGTCGACTGCTGTTTTGTTTCGGACTCATATGCATAGATCCATGATTCATCACCTGTGTAGATGTTATATTTTGATGCACCTTGAACGTATTTTTCCAATATTTCCTGCACCAATCGCCATGAGCCTTCTTTTGAACATTAGTCAGATTATGCGAGATCGAACGCGAACAAATCTTTTTTACGGTCCAAATGTTCGCGTAATATCTTATTGATGCTTGTCGTACTAATGCCCAGAGATGCCTCAATTTCTCGGTATGTGACATGACGATCTTGCTTATCAATTCACACACAGCATCGATATTTTGTGGCACAACAACCGATTACTAACGACCTTCACGAAATTCTTTCTGGAGAGAACGTCAACCACGAATGAATTCGTTTATACTAGTTTTTTACAGTAAATAATCGCACGAAAGTGTTCATGAGTCAATTCCATCTTTTGCCCGAGATGAATTTTTCAATTTACTGCAAATAACACAAATCGTGCTAAAATGGCAAAACGTTTTGAAGAAGTTATAGTTAAAAATATCAGACTTTCGATTGGAATCGTCTGCGGTCGCCTACCAAAACTTACTGTTGCCAAGGCCAGAAATATAAAAAGCAACCTTCGTATAGGGACGCAGAAATATGAACTTTTCGGAATTGGAAAAAAGGGAGTAAAGGCGTAAAAATTTTCCCAGTCATTTTATTCTTCAAATAAAAGAGCATGGATGACACAAATGTTAATGAATGATTGAAAATCATTGCCATAATTAAGGCTGGACAACATTAAAAATCAATTGGTTTATTGAACGTTGCAAAAAAGCAAAAAACCTTTTTTAACCATATTTCACCCCTTCCCCCTTTTTTTAAATTTTTTTTATTTATTTATTTTAGCAAAAGCTAACTTCTTCCTCTTATTCTTTTCTCCGAATTGTACATCATTTGCTATAGCGAATAGCAGAGTGCTGTGCGGGCTAAAACGCAAATATAAAGTAGCCTTTTTTTTAAAAAAAAATATATGCTAGTTTTTTTTTTAAGAGTGGCAAGACCATTTAAGGATTTTTTAAATATTTTAACATAAAATGTACTGTTTGGAACATTGCAAAGTCATGGAAGGACGTGTTTCTGCAGGTATTTAAAAATGCTTTGCATAATTTATTGCCACCTGTCATGTTTCATGATTATGTTGATAATAGTAATCAAAATTTTTAGCTTTACAAATATCACAAGCAAAAGGCGAAATGCTCCATTTCCTGGAATTACGGAAGAAATATGGAGAAGGGACAGTAAATGAACTTGATATAACAGATGTTTTACATTCTGATGACAATGCCCCAATACTGGAACCACTTCCCAACGGTGCCGCACCCTTGCACGAGTTGGCCGCTGTTCGAAAAGATAGAAATCTTCGTAACTGTGCCGTGGCATATAAAGGAGCATACACAAACTGAAGATAGTTACGCATTTGGAAACTGTCCGTGAACACCATAATTAAAATCTGGCATAAAGTTCATCTGTGCTGCTGTATAAAAACAGCCGATCCTGCTTTCTAGAAATGCAGATTTCAAACACTGAATAATCTAGAATAGTGATTTCCATCATATGGGTTGCGTTCGTAAAATAATTTTCGTTAAGGAGTGAAAAGATATTTTAACTTTTTTATTTTACAACTGTATATATTGATGTAAATTATGAATTCATTTATAATATTTATAATTATTGATTGTTTATACTTATTCATCTATATCTATTATTAATCCGTTATAACATTATTTTCTTCTGGATTCCTTTCTGTTTCATTGAGAGTATTTTTTTCTAAAGAATTTCTTTAAACTAACTTTCTTTCTTTTTTTTCTAGAGACCTCGTAGGTCGCGATGCTAGAAAATTTTGAAAACTCTAGAAAAAGGAAAATAATAAATGGGGTGGAGGGGGCTCGAAATATTTCATAACTAGCAGTAAAAATGCTTTTTTATATTTGAAATAGATATGTGCATTGGTAACCAAAAGAAAATCAGATAAGATATTTTAAGCTATTGTATAGAAAGTATGAAAAGTTGAATATTTTATAGAATATTGAAGATTTAATTATAAGGCATTTTTATTAACCCAAAAAGGCTATTAATCTCCAAATACGATTTTGCGTTGTTTCACTTGAATGAAATGTCTGTTGCCATTTGGCAAAATGTAAGATATTTAACTTTCAAATGTCATCTATCTATTATTGATTAGCAAATACAGTTATTGAAAAGCAATAGATGCAGTTCTTAAGAATCTAAGAATATTATTATTATTTTACTTTTTAATCTGATTGATTTAGATAAAAATTCATTTAATTCACGCTATATATAATTAGAAATATTAAATTTTTTACGGTATTACGTTATATATTTTTTCACTGTGTATTCATGTAGTATCCTATAAAATCTTTTGCTGTTCTACCTAGATCATCTTTATTGATAACCATTATGCTTTAAAAGAGCCCTTTATGTAGCCGTTAAAATCTGAAACCGTAAAGTACTTATTTTGTTACCTATTTTTGTATGTCTATTTTTCAATTTACAATCTATATTCATTCCGATTAAAAAAAAAAAAAAAAAAAAAAAAAAAAACCCTGAAAAACTGGTATCACTGATGAAAAGTTCAGTACCTTATGTCAATACAGCATTTGACATAAAAGTTAGGGCGCTATTTATGCAAAGTCCTTGCTTTAGGATTAAGTTTCATTTTATCCTTTACTTAATTAGTTAATCAGTAATTAAAATGGCAATCAGACTTCACACCTTAATGAAAAATGCCTTACTGCCATAAGGGTGTCGACGGTGTTTCAAATGAGAAACTGATCTTCCATTTGTACATGCTTCCTTATGCCGCTGCACTGGTATGAAGATTTCTGTCTTTCCCAACAGCAGCCGACTTGGCCACTCATGTTCAAAAAATAACTAGCAAACGCTAAAAGAAAAGATACAAATGTAAAAATTGGACTTAAAACATGCAATTTACATATAAGGTAGAGGTTGCATTGCCGAATGCAAATAGGCAACCATTATCACAAAACGCAATCACACCGCAATGCCTTAGAGGCATCTGGACATATGCGTCTGTTCGCAAGTAGCGATTGTTCCGTGTAATCCGAGGTCGTCAAAGCGGAAAGCATGAGCCAAAGAAACGATTTGCACGATGAAATTCGTCGGAGGGTTGTCAAAACGTTGCAAGCTGGTGCAAGAGAATCCGCTGTTGCGAGAGAGCTGAATGTGCAACGTAGTTTCATCAATAGGCTGAGGAGTCGTTACTAAAGGAATCAAAACCGCTGTAGTCACATGGGTCTGGATGCCGGATTATTACAACAACGGCAGACGATCGCTTCCTGTTGCTACGTGCAAGACCCTGTAGATCACTAATAGCACAACAGCTGTCATCGCACTTCTCTGCTGCTGCAGGACAGCCTTTATCCCACCAAACTGTTTGGTGTCGATTGGACTATATGCCGACGACTCGTGGTTTGTGTTCCTTTGTCCCCATTGCATGTCAGAGTCAGAGCGCTGTAGAACGTCACAGTTGGATGTCATAGCAGTGGGGTGACATACTCTTTACTGATAAGTCTCGATTAATATCCAGAATGCTTTCCAAAGGGCAGTAATATGGCGAGAGCCAGAAACATGCTATCGGGCGCCAAACATCATCGAAAGGGATCGTTACAGAGAAGAAGGCTTACTTGTATGGGCTGGGATAGCACCGGACGGCTGCACCAACCTCTACATGACTACTGGTGGTTTCGTCATTCGACTACTGTCCGATATTGCGACGAAAATTCTCCACCCATGTGTGCGTCCTTTTATTGCTGCAATGAGTGTCGACGCGATATTTATGGTCGATAATTTACATTATACCAAACACAAAGCTTTATTTCCTGTCAAATGTTTTGCTGTTTTTCCCTTAGGAAAACTAACTCGGTACAAAAGATTTTTCTAATACGTATATTTTAAGTTTCACTTGTATTTTTACGTAACAGGCAGTTTGGATGCAGAATAAAATACAGAATAAATTTCATGTTACAACATATATTGCTTTTGGTATTGAATGAGGTAAATTCTTGTAATAGCTATTATATAAGCAAAATATATGTGTTGCATTTAAAAGCTCTTATTGCATTTGCTTTCTGAATGTAGGGGTGATTTAATATAAAGATAAATAAATTAATTATATTTGAGACAATTAATATCATTATTTTAATACAAGTTAGATAGAATAAGTAATTCTGAAAAGCAGTTTTCGTGGCTAGTGAATTACTTTGGTATTAGTAGAATCACAAGTCAAGGAAAGGGGCAAATTTCCCCAAAATTTTATTTTTGTAGTGTTTAATCTGTAAATCAATTTTATCTTTCCTTAAAAATTAGTATTTTCAATATAATTTAACTCGTTTTCAGAGGTCAAACAGGAATTGGAAGACCTTATGGCTGATATCAAGAAAACTGCCAATAGAGTGCGAGCCAAATTAAAAGGTAATTATAGTGTTTATTTGTTACTGTATTAGTTATTATATATAAATTACGATGTTAACATTTGCTTCTCTTTGAAATAACAAAGAAATGTTCTCTGAAGGCACTTCCATATAACCCAAAATCTGATATTTGATTAAAATATACCAGCAGTGTTAGAGATATTTTCATTTATTCTTATTTTCCTGAGTATTTAAAAATTAATTCTCATGTGTCAAGATAATGTATAGTAATGTGCAGTCATAAGTGCATTAAAAAATGTATTGTTTTATACATTTTCATGAGTAATAAGTAATGCATTACTGAAGTTTAATGTATTGCATTGAAAGAAAAGCATATCAGTAAACTCCCATTTAACTGAATTGTATAATTAATCCCATTTACCTGAATTGTAGTTCTGAATCACCTGAATTGTATTAGTGAATCCCATTTACCTGAATTGTATTAGTGAATCCTATTTACCTAAACCGCATAGAATTGAAAGAATTATTAAGAATAATATATTGAGAATTTTTTCTGGTAATTAAATGTAGAAGTTTGTGCTTTGTAGAAGTTTCTGCATTATTTGTAATATGTATTAATATAATATATGTACATTTTTGTATCAGAGTTCAGATGCAAATATAAATTGTGTCTTTATTATTTGAAGTACAAAAAGCTCTTTTGAGTTTTTCTAGCAATTCTTATGCAGAGCTAAATTATGCCAGTATATGGCATTATCTCTTGAGCACAAATCTCTTATTTTACGTGCATCATCATCATAATCTCCCATATATCATTTTTAAACCAGATGTACAGAATATAAGTTATGTATATATATATATTTATATATAAGTTATGTATATATATATTTAAGCAGATATTGGTTTTCACATTTGCTTGTTCTATGTCATTTTCCCCCTTCATTATAATTATGTGTAATGTATGTGATTTATAACCAGAAGGGGACTCTTATAAAACATTCAATATTATTATCATTAAATGTTAATTTCTGATGAATATATTGTATGCTTAAACTATGCATTTATTTTTGGAACCTTTAATTGTTGATCTAAATAGATATCACCTTATTAAAAATACTATAAAAATCTCCAATAACTTTTAGATTTTTTAATGTTCATTGTTTCCTTGATACAGAGATGTCATGAAAATGAGCTATTAAAGATGTAAAGTTTTAAAAAAAATATTTTTTAAAAGGGCTGCAACAATTGAAATTAATACTTAACTTTTTAATGTAGCATTTAGCTTTCTTATTGTTTAGATCTCTTAGCAGCATGGCTGCTTTTTGCCATTCATGAAATTTATTGCCACTTGGTATATACACTTAAAATATTTTGTTTTTTTAATTTCTTCACTGATTCATCAATTTTACAAATAGATTATAAAAACAGAGTAAAATAACATTATCATACAAATCAAGCCAATAAATGACTTTTAAATACAACTCTTCTTTAGTAGGTCAAAAAGGTTTTGCCACTCAGATTGGTAGAATAGTCTGTTCCTGGGATGTCTAAAAATTGTGTAAATAGAACCTGAAAACAAATAAATTGTATTTAAAATAATCGCTGTCCATCTACAAAATACTCTGGTAAGTTTAATAAAGCATTTTAGTAAAGGTTCATATTGGAAACTCAGCAAAGATCTGTTTTGGAACCTGATTTCAGGATTGTGTCATACATTCTTGGATACCCAACATATTCATGAAACATATACCTTTCGTGGCTGTTTTAAGCTAACAGGACAACATCAAAAAGAGTCTGCAGGTACCAGAATTGGAAAATGCAGTGGATGATCGAGAATAAGTATACTCTGTTAGAATTGGTAAATATAAATTGGACAGCGTACAGCCACAGTAACAATTATTTCAAAAATTCTCATAGAATGTGGCATTTGCAGTTTAGGAATTCATAAATGATGGTACCATCAAAATTATCAAAGAAGGCAATAAGACGGTGAACATTGTTTCATCAGTTGCTCCTTGGCCTTTGTATTGAACTGATAACTGCAGGGTCTTGACCACTGTGACGATGGTTTACAAGAAAGAGAAATCCTGATCATTTCCAGCACAAACAATTTGCAGCACAGACAAGGAACACATTTTTCTCTTACCCAAATCTTGTAAACACAGTGTGGTCTGTATCCTTGCCAATGCATGGATCAATCAATCATGGATTCAATCACTGATCTCATGCACACTTACTCTTAATCATATTTGGGGCTTTGCTTGTTGATGGTTAAGCTGAGAATGACTCATACTCAGTTGCAAACGCATTCTTTGTTAACTGCTTCCACATCTTGCACTTGTTATATTCCATGCATCTCAGCACCATATTCCTAAATGTCTTTAACGAAACATGTTTACTAATTGCTTAATTCATTACCTCTCATACTGTTTGCATTCAGCAGTCCACTCTGGATTTATCTTGTGAGCCATATATACTCCACATTATATATATGTATACACACACATATAGATACATATTATGTTTGTGACTTTATCATTTATAGATATATTTGTATGCAACTTCATAGCATATAGTTGTTGTTTACTGACATTCTGTTTGGACCTCCAGCCAAACAAAAGTGCTCCTACAATGTTTGTGTGAGGTAGTATCCAAAACTCCATTTTATATTATAAAACAAACAAAAAAAAAAAAGAAAAGAAAACTGCATAGACATTTTAACACTATTCATTTCATAACTTAAAAAATAAAACATGAAGTAATTTTTTTCAAAACAAGAAGAAAAGTCATATATGTCTATGATACAGTGCAAATAAGCAACAGTATGTTAATATGAATGCCAGCATTATGTTATTAAATTATGTTAGAAATCATTTTAAGAAAATTTATATCTTTTCTTAATCTCAGTTTAATAAGCAAAAATTTTGCATACATGTCCTGTTTAAGCAAGCAACAGAAATGCCCAATTTAATCATTACATTCTATTTTAGCTGTGCGTAGCAATCGTAGAAATGTGGCTAAAGTGTATTATTATTTGCATTCAATTCTTTCTTTACTGTATATACTGAATTTACACCAAATTTCTTTCAAATTTTTCATTAAATAGACCTTTTTTTGTCCCAGTCATTTAGATAAACCTATGCTTCATCAACGGTTAGAATTGTACTGCCATTTATTTCCTGCTATATATGCTAAAACATCTTATTGATGTGGTGAAGTGCAGAGAGTGTTTACACATCTTTAGAATGATTTCAATCCGGTTTAATTGATTATTAAGATGTGAAAAGTATTTCTATAAATGTTTGATCAAATAGCCTTCTTTTCTAGACTAAAGTCTGCATCATGATTTCTGGGATAGAAGGACTTTTTGTAATCAAAAGGTATTGATTTCCATTCCTCTTCCACTATCCCCAGAATCCATCAGTCATGGTGGGTTTGCACTTAAAGAGCTCTTTTCAAAAGATTAAAGACACAATACTTCACAGGTAAAACATTGGGATTTATTCACTGTATCTTGACGAAGTTGCATTCTTAGAGTGTCATTGGAATAAAAAGATGGAATTTCTTCTGTAAATATCAGACGTAAAACTTTCTCTTGATAACACATTGAGTAGATTTTAGCACTTTTTCCCCACTCTCTTATTTTGTATTTCCCATTCTTAGTGAACTCTGCGACAGTCATAACCTCCTTATTAAAACTTCCTTCGAATTGAAAAAAACCAAGTTTGTGCATCTTCATTCTTCATTTTTGAGAATTAAATAGACCTTTCTTTGTCCAAGTCATTTAGATAAACCTATGCTTCATCAACAGTCACAATTGTACTGCCATTTATTTCCTGCTATATAATTTTTATACAGGGTTCTCTACAGATTATTCTACATTGAGCCACATTTTTCAACAAAAGCTGTTGAACATGCTTTAACTTTTTTAAGTTGTAACTTTTGGTTTATTATTTTGTTAATAGTTCCTGCAGATATATTTAAAGACTTTCCAATTGATTTCTTCATCAGCAGATTTTCTCTTGCTACCAATGATTTAACTTTAGAAACATTATAAACAGTATGTACACCTTGCACCCAAAAAAAAAAAAAAAAAAAAAAAAAAAAAAAAAAGCGAGGTAGTTCTACAGCTGCCATTCTACTGGGCTGATTGATGAAATTTAATTACAGTTTTCATATCTCAAAAGGGCAACATAAGGACATATATTTTTTGTATAGTTTATTCTAACATGGATATTTTGACACAAAAATCAAACTTTTTCTGAAATGGCCTATATTTTTCCATATTTCAGTTCTACTACTTAAGTTATGCCAAGTGCCCAGTTTTGTAAAAATCACTAGTAGTTTTTAAAAAAAAAATTAGCTCTCGAAATTTTACCTCCTCGGTATTCATTGAATTTCATATATATTTATAAACATTTTGTTTTTTATTAAATTTAATTGATTTTTTCATTCACATTTCAAAATTTAGGTTCAATTTAAATAAAATTTGCAGTATTTTCGATTTGTTTTTAAAATTTATACTTTTTAGTAATTTTTTGAAAAATGTTTTGTCTGTAACCTATAAAAATTTCACCATTACCTTTAAGTAGTTGTATTTCTAGGCATACCTGCAAAAAAATTTAGATTTTTTATTCAAAATTTCTGAAAATATATGAGAATATATATATATTGGCACATTTTGAAATTTAGCATATTTGTTATAAGCGATAATAACGCCAAATGTGGTTTACACATTTTGTTAAAATTATTTGAAAGAATGAATGATGCACTTTTTCTCCCACTCGTGCACAATGAGGAAAATAGGCTACAATAAATTAAGAATTTAGCCAAATAAATTTTTTTAATGTAAACTAAAAACAGTGCACCAAAATAAATTTTGAAATTTCCCAAGTTCCTCAGCAAATTTTACAAAATTTATTATTTAGGCATAATTTGAGTTGTAGAATTGAAATATGAAAAAAAAAATGGTATGTCATTTTAGAAAAAGTCCAATTTTGTGTCAAACCATGTTTGTTAGAACAACGTTATATATAAATCTAATATATATTTTAAGTCAGGCTTTCAAGACAGGAAAAACACAAGTTGAATTTCGTCAATAAGCCCAGTAGAATGGGAGATAAAGAACTGCACCTTTTTTTTTTTTTTTTTTTTTTTTTTTTTTTTTGTGTGTGTGTGTGTGTGTGCAGGGTGTATCTTTTTCGTATATTTATTTGGAATCTTTCTTCCATCTAGAAGTGATTGACTGATGGTTTTTCCCTTCCCATTTATTTTGCGCTTTGAAATTTTAATGCTGTACATTTCACAATATTTTTGAATAGTGGAATAGGAATATTTCGCTTTGTAAAGCACAAAAACGTATCCTTTAACCTACAACTTGTTTAGATGTGACGTATTGAAACAAGAATAAATTTAAAAGTAGCAAACAATATTTCTCATTTCAAATAATAAGTTGTTGCCTGAAATTTTTATTCTAAAACGCTTGCCTTTTTTTTTTTTTTTTTTTTTTAATTCTTTATCGAAATCATTCTAAATCCATGTAAAGACCCATTGTAATATAAAAAAAAGTAATTTATTATGTAAAAGAATGTTATCTTTATTCATGCAAGTAAAATTAAATTCTTTGCATATTTTTTTTAATTATGACAAATATAAGTATGTTTTGTAAAATAAAAGTAAAACAAAAATGGAAGCTACAATAATACATCCTAAGACTTACCGTAGTTAATACTAAACACTGTTTAAAAAACATTCATAAGTATAACAAAATTTCATTCATGCATTACACAGTTAGACATTTATAATTTATCTGTTGAATTTTGACATGTGTATGTACATTACTGAGTTAAATAATAATGCTTTATTATTAAGTAGGATAAGAATGAAATTTACTGTATTTACTGAATTTCCCCTTAATCTTCAATTTCAAACTTAAATTCAAGATTATTTCTTTTAATGTAATTTAGAGATATACCTATACAATCCCACGTTTCTGTTTGATAATTTTCATGTTCTTTCTAATAAAAGCATAACCTTGCTTCTTCCAAGCTTAGAAGCATTACTAATATCGCTCCTGTTAATTTCTGACATATTTATAAGAGTAAATAACAGGTTCCTGAATGCAAAGAGGGAAATTGCTGGAGACGGAATAGGAACAAATTTTACAGATAAGTGTACTTACAAAGAAAACTGACTGAAATTCTGTTAAACCATGTATGTCTGTGACCACATGCCAACATATTTACGTCAAACTAGCCAGACCTAGCATTTATTTAGAGCAGGTAGTAATAAATGTAGTAAAGTAGTAAAAAAAGTATCGAGTAACAAAGAATTAATACCATTTTTTCAGCAAGTAACTGTAATGCAAAAAACAAGATTACATGAAACATATCGGTGTGATGTGAAACTGACCCTATGGTGTATAAATTATATTTTGGTAAATGTTATCAATTCCATGTACAAAAGTTTTTCCTCCTCATTGCCAGATTTATCTGTCATATTTTGTTTATTCAGTAGATGCAATTATTGTAAAGAATATTATTTCAGATGTTCTGTGTTTTTTCATGGTAGTTGCTGAATGCAAGTATTTCGTTAGTGTTGTGTAACTAATACAGATAAATTTTACATGAGTGATGAGCATTCATTACTAATAAATGTACGTATGGTAGCTGACAAATATCTCATATTTCTTATTTAAAATTCTTATTTCCTTTTAATAAATGGAGTCACATATTTGTCTACATATTTTCCTATAACTCTAATTAATAAATTTTAATTCTTCATTATTTATTATTTCATTTCATTTCATTTCGTTTTTCATATTTTCAGTTATGGAGCAAAATATTGAGCAACTGGAGCAGACGAGCATGATGTCAGCTGACTTCAGGATACGCAAAACACAAGTATGTATCTTTATAATCAAAAAAAAAATTATATTTTATAATTTACCTTCTTTACCTTAATTTCTCTATAGGCTTAAATTACCTTATTACCTTCTTTTCTAACCTAAAAAAAAAAAAATGTGGATTTGGACTTCCCATTGATATAATATGTCATCTTATGAAAGCCAAGTAGGAAATATTATCTTTTCAAAGAAATTTAAAATTTTGATAATGATAAGTTATAATCTGGATTATTTATATTTCATAAGTAAACAACATTTCTGACATACAGTTCAAATAAACATTATTAAATTGATGTAATTAAATATTATTCTCCAGAAATTCAGATTTGCTGACAGAAGAACTCATGTTCAGTGAAATCAAGTTTATAAATAATATAGAAAGTCACACTCAGCTGAATTTTCCCCCAAAATAATAATCTGGCTTAAAGCATATCCTAATAAACTCAAATGGGCAGTATTTTGAAAAGTTGGATTATTAACATTATAATTTATATCTACACAATTTAAACACATTGTCTAACTAAGAACTCTCACTTATTTGTGAATTTATTTTCTGAAAATGCATAACATTAATCAGTACAGCACATTAAAAAACTTCTAAAATAGTGACTTGGTGAGCCATTGGTAGAACAAAAGATGCAGTTGTTAAAGTTCACTGCATGATTGGTTTTATTTCAGTTTTAATGAGCACAGTATGTATTTAACTGCAATTATTATACACCTTGTCTACATGCTTTAGACGCAAATGTGAGGAACTATGGGTACATTTGAAGAAAGTTAAAAATGGGCAACGAAGTTCCTAATGTGTTCCACTCATATTGAAATTGAAGCAGTGATCACCTAATGTGTTCCACTCATATTGAAATTAAAATAGTGATCAACAATTATTATGAATGGTTTGAGCTGATCAAGATATTCAGCTTTGTAGAGAGAATAACGAATTGTATTTTGGAGGATGGAGCTGTAAATTGGAACAGTGTAAGTAACTCAAATGTTAAAATTTGATTGTTGCCATATTTTAAAATAAGAAGATGTAAAGGTTTTGTCCATGACATCTTTTCCACAATTTTTATATAATCAAAGATGAAAACTTTAAGCAGTTGAATAAGTAAGGCACATGCATCAGAAATTATGATGATGATAAATTAATATTATAATGTTTTGCATTGCTGTGATGCAACAGCCTTGGTAAGAAATGGGAATTGATGCATTTTAATCTTGGCGAGAAACAGATTGTTAGTCGAAACACATGTGCAATTCATTCATTGTCTGCAGTAAATAGTTTAATATATGCATACAAAAGCAGTTCTTTGTAAATTTGTATTTATTAGTTAATACAATTTTGCAAGCAATTTATGTAAGTAAACAACCTATAAAAACAGACCTGACATTTATTTTAAGCTTACTTTCTGATGGCCACAGTTCAACAATTACTGCTAAGAATATATCAGATATAATACCATGACTGACAGGATGGATAAATATAAATGATGCTAGGTAGAGCTACGTTTGATAGCAAACTATATTGTGCTTTGTTCCACAATTTTGCTGATTCCCTTTGAATGAAAGATTTGAAATAGTAGGCATATTAAATGTTTAGCAATAAAAAACAGAGAAAATTTTCACTAGTTAGAGAAAAACAAACTACAGCTTTTGTGCAGATGTGTAACCATAGACATTAAATGAACTAATTGCTTGCATGTATCAATAACCAACTATTTCTCACCTAAGCCCATTCTTCCCCAGCCACTATAATGTAGAAGTATCTCAATTTTAGTCATTTAGTTTCTAACATATCCTTGGTCACATTCATAAAAATGAAATTAAAAAATAGAAATGTTCATTAATTTTGGAACTTATCTCCATTACATCAGAAAAAGAAGTTTCATGCACATCTATTTTAAAATTTGCACTATGTTCATTATTTTTAAACAGTTTTCTGTATTTTACTCACAATTTATTTTACCATTTCTTATCTAAATCATCTTAATATTTTTCCGTCATATATATTTATTAGTGTGCACAGAGTGTGATTATTTTTATTCTACCATTGTTCTAAATTAAGCTGTTGCAGCTTTTGTAGTAGTTTTTAAATGATAACCTTATCATCATTTTTCAAAGCTATTTAATTATAAGAGGCCTCATAAATGTTATATAGTTTCCTGAATAGTTAAATACTATCACAGTTTCACAATACAGTTCTCATCCTCTTCAACCATATTTTACCACATGATTTTTCTCTTTTACTAGAAAATACATTTTCCTTTATAGCATTCCATGTTGTCCCAGAAGTTCGTTGAAGTTATGACAGATTACAACAAGACTCAGACAGATTACAGGGAAAGATGCAAAGCCCGTATCCAAAGGCAATTAGAGATAAGTTAGTACTATTTATAAATTAATATGAATAAATTATCTTAATATGAATTCATTTTTTCTATTTGTCTAAGATAAGTAAAATGTTATAAGCAATCAATGCTTTTTTTTGTCTGTTTTTAAGACAAAAAGTGTATTATGAAAAACCATAAATGAAATTTTAACTTATTGATTATTGTTCTGAACATTAAATATTTTCATTGATCATAATTTTAGGTAGATAAGTTTCATTGGAATGGTAACATGGTAATTGAACTAAAAAAGATCAAACTTCATCAGAAAGCCACACCACCATATACTTCACAGCAAAGCATTCCAAAACATGGCACTTAATTCAGAAGTCAAACAACAGAAATGAGGGTTATATTTTCAAATTTTCACAGGACTAGTTTCGATGATTTTACCGAACCACATTGTCAGCTGCAAAAGCGTAAATGAACGAGACTGGATGTAATGATCAGATAAGATAAGAAAGCCTGTACAGAAAGTAAGCTAGTGGCGCCATCTGATGATGAAACCATAACTAAAACATAATTTCTTTAAAGGCCGAAGGCAAAGATGGATTGGAATTAGGATTGTTAACTAGAACATAAAGATTTTTTTAATGGGAAATGCCTCTAGCATATCCAGTTCTCCAATGGAAGATATTTCTTGAATAATTTTGGTAGCTGAAAAAAATTGAAAGTGTGATTTTCGGACCAACAATGTTGGGCAACAGAAGACTTCTGTGTTTCCTTTTTTCTAACATATGCCTCATGTTCCTTGACGCGAAATTTTAAGGCTCTCTTAGTTTGGCCAATGTAAATTGAACCACACTGGCAAGGAATCCTGTAAATACCCCAGGGATTCATATCCGGAATGGGGTCCTTGAGTATGGAACTCTGAATTTTATTGATGGGAGAATAAACGACCCGAAAGTTAAATTTCTGCAAAATATGTGCAACTTTATAGCTAAATGATGGAAAGAAGGGAATAACAACAGAATTTTTATAATCTCCTAAAACAAGAGTGTGCCTTTTAGTGTGTTGAGATGAGAATTTTTTAACTGCTTGATCAATAATGTTGGGTGAAAAAGCCCCTGTCAACAGCTATTGCTTTTAAATAATTTAGTTCTTTATCAAGGGATAGTTTGGAGTAGCAAACTTGAAGAGCACGGAAAACATAGGAATAAAATGAAGCTAACTTTTGTTTAGTCGGATGACATGATTTAAAGTGTGGTGGAAGGCAAATTGATGAAAGTTTACAGTAAACCGAAGTACTGAAGTTGGATGTGTTACGTGTGACCAGAATGTCGAGAAACGGAAGAGAATTGCAAGTCTCAAGTTCAAAAGTGAACTGAATAGCAAGATCAATAGAATTCATTGTTGAAAGAACTTTATTTAAATCATCTTTATTACCTTCAAACAGGATAAATGTATCGTCTACGTAGCGGAACCATACCGGGAAGTTTAAAGTTTCAAACAATTTTGATTCATAAAAAGGTACACTCTTGTTTTAGGACATTATAAAAATTCTGTTGTCATTCCCTTCTTTCTATAAAGTTGCATAAAGTTTGTATAAAGTATATATTTTCTATGAAGTTTCTATAAAGTAGTTCTATAAAGTCCTTTCTTCTATAAAGTTGCACATATTTTGCAGAAAAGTAACTTTTGGCTCGTTTATTCTCCCATCAATATATAGGATTCCTTGCCAGTGTGGTTTAATTTACATTGGCCAAACTAAGAGAGCCTTAAAATTTCACGTCAAGGAACATGAGGCATATGTTAGAAAAAAGGAAGCACAGAAGTCTTCTGTGGGTCCGAAAATCACACTTTCAATTTTTCTGCTGCCAGAATTATTCAAAAAACATCTTCCATTGGAGAACTGGATTTTCTAGAGGCATTTCACATTCAAAAGAAATTTCTGTTCTAGTTAACGATCCTAATTCCAATCCATCTTTGCCTTCGGCCTTTAAAGAAATTATATTTTAGTTCTGGTTTCATCAACAGATGGCGCCACTAGCTTATTTTCTGTCCAGGCTTTCTTATTTTATCTGATCATTATATCCTATCTCGTTCATTTGCGCTTTTGCAGCTGACAATGATGGTTTGGTAAAACCATCGAAACTAGTCCTGTGAAAATTTGAAAATATAACACTGATTTTTCTTGTTTAACTTCTGAATTACAGTCAAAAGCCGTTAATCTAGACTCGTCGGGACTTTGGCGATTCCGGATTATCGATTTTCCGGATTATAGATCATCAGTTTAAATCTAGTAAGATGGCATGCAGAAATTATAAAATTAAAAATATGAAACCGTAATTTATGAAATAAAGAACAATTATGATCTAAAGGGTATCAAAATTTACAAAAAAAAAGCTTAATATTTATTTGTTTACATTATTAAACATTTCTTTCAATGTAAGTCGTTTAAGTTGCTTCGTTTTTTATGTGATTCTCTTTAATTCTATAAACAGACATTCTCTTTAATTCTATAAACAGACATAATTTCTTGTTCAGTTACAAAGTTCCGCTGTTCAAGTCCTATAATATAATAGAATACCGACTAGTTTGTCAATTGAAATTTTTTCGTTTTCAATAACCTCTGTCACTTTCTTCGCTATCGGAAGCGAATTATAATGACGAGGAATTTGATTTAAATCATATCAAAGACGGAGTACATCGAGATGAAATACTACATTTAGTAAGGAATTATAAGCCAAATAAAATAAAAACATCTGCCCTGAAGATAAGGATAGTGCTGACAGATGAACTTCCAATTCATTGCGCGCTGCGGAAAGATAAACAAAGTTTACATAAACAAAGGATATGCCTTTATCCATTTTTTGCAGTAATTCCACTTTTTGTTTAATGAATTTCGAAACATACTTTCGTTTTGTAGATCCTTTACATATTAATAAATATATATCAGAAATTCTATTTGACATAATCAAAAGTTCAAGTTTACTTTTATAAAATTGCTCTAACAGTCTGAAAAAAATAATAAGCCGGATCCAATTCGAAAATTAAGGAACAACGCAATCTGCAACATTAACTGAATTAGATAATTTTAGCTTAGCTTATACCATCCATTATAAATTAAATGCACATTCGTAAACATATTTTGGGCACTCGCACATGCATATTCGCAGCCGTAAAGATGCATGCGCAGAAAGTTTGTAGCTTTGAGGTCCGGATTATAGATCATTCCGGATTTTGGGTGTCCAAATTAACAACTTTTGACTATAGTATTTGTTCTGCATGTTATTGTGTCTTAATGGCACTTCATGTTCATATATTCAGTAATTGTCTTCCATAAGGATATAATCATCATTGATAACATTTTATACATTTACAACGTAAATATATACAGTAACATATAAATAGATAAAATAAAAAAATATTGAAAGCTTTCAGATTTTATAAAATGCCCAAAAGGGTGGTTTTTATTAAACATTTTGTTTGTTATCTTTATTTATTAAATATCATGTTCTTCACACTTAAACCACATAAAAGTGAATTCAACAGCAATATCACAAAATATTTAAATACAGCATAACTTTAGAATTGCTGATAGATAGTGTCACACGCTAGAGATAAAAAATGTTCCTTTCTTTATAGTGTTGTCATTGCTCACTTTTAAATCATTGAGTTTGGTAAACAAAAATTCTCTAAAGTTTTATAAAATATTAAATAGATAATAAAACAAATTTGAAATTCAAAATTCGGGCATCCAGGTGCCTATGTTTAAGTGGAGGATTGCGTTATTCAAAATTTGATGATACCATCATCTTTTCACAATACGTGAAGCATACGTACATGCATGCAGGTTCCTCATTATGTAACATCTTTAAATATGCGGTGTGATAATATTTGGTGGCAACAATTTAAAAAGTGATACACGTTTATAGTGAACCAATGCAAAGTGCCGTTTCAAGACTTATAGCCCTTCTGGGCTAATGATCCTTTGAGCTAATAAACAAACATCTTACTTTGCCAAGAATGAATTCTGCTAGTTTCTAATAGATTTTCTTTTTACAGGTTCAATAATCTTTGTCACCATAATTTACCATATTATAAAAAACAACACATTAATTATATAATCAAACAGAATGTTATAATTAAATAAACTACATTTATGTATGCAATATTCTAAAAATCCAACTCATCAGTGTAGTGTCAGAATTAAATAAATTTAACAAATGTCCATCGAGCTCGCTTCTGTCATTCTGACCTAAATCTCTTTGAATATCACTATATTCATTTTTATTTCTTTTTTTGATGATTTCTGATATAAAAAAGCTAATACAATAATAAGCCATATTAATTATTTCCCTGTATTCAAATTTTTTTCTTTAATTTTCTTAGATGTGTACTCCAGAAAAACTACTTTTTTTCAAGCCAGTCCATGGGAAGCTTCTGTCCAGTTGTTGTTTTTATCTCAATGAATAAATTTATTCATTTAATACATCTGAAACACTAGTTAGGTCCACCAGCAAAATTTTTAATGCTCATTTGTTGAGTAATTATTTTTGTTTGAAGGTGAATTCTAACTTTTGACACCGATAATCCCTTTCTTTTTTACTCTGTTGTCTATTTCTCTAAATTGTCTTCCAAAGCAGGCCAGGCTATGACATTATTCGAACAGATCCTTTAATCTAGGCATTTTCTCTAATTCTTCTTGTTTGGGCTTCCATTGCTAAGTGTATCCCTCACTAACTTGAAATTTTCTAATTACAATTCAATTTCTTATTTCTGTCACTTTCTTCTTTGCTAAAAGCTTAAAAGCTGGTGTAAACGTTTACTTTGATTAGGAGCAATAATAATAATTTTAAAAATTCAACTATCACAAATGATAAAGTAAGCACAGCAATAAGTAAACCATAATGCAGTGCTACATGTGAAAGAATGAACACAGAACTTGGCAAAATGCAGAGAAAACCACAGATTTCAACAGAAAGTACATGCGTTACAGTGTCATTACACCGAGTGCACTGTATTGTTGTTAGGCAATTTCACGTGTGTTGGAATTTGTCCACTGTCTTAGCACTTATAACAGCCTAAAATATTGCAATTAATTCTACATTAATTATTTTGCTTTTGCCCAACTTACGATCTAAACTAGTGAAGTTCTAAAGAAAAAATAAAACTCCAGATATGCCACCCCAGCAAATAAGATGCAGAACTAACCAAATTTAAGGTAATATTAAAAAAGGGTTTGGGATAAAGTATAAAATATGTAAATTTTATTGGCATATGAATTGCATCTTTAGAATGTTTACAAGATCACTGAAGTTCATGAAAAGCACTATCTTTTATTTTCACTTTTAGTAAAATGTACAAAAATAGTACTTTTTTCAATGCTATGTATTTATCCGAAGAAATCTAAGTGCTGTATTTTTTTTTCTAAAATTTAATATAGTACTGGAGAATTTCACAGTATGTATACTTTGAGTATGAAGAGAAGAGTATTTATGGATTATTATGTAACTTTATAAAATATGCAGAAATGTATAAAGCAGTGAGAAAGTTGAGAAAAAATAACTAAAGTAGTGCTTTCTAAGTGCTACCAGGAAAATGTTGCACTTAAATATATCTTTATATATATATATATATATATATATATTGTAAACTTATTCAATGATGCATGATCAGTATGAATTTATATGAACAAAATTATCTTGTTATAAAATACAGGTGTATTAACAAATTTTAGAGTTTCATTAATTTCTTTGCATAGAATGTTTCCATTTATGCTTAATTTAAATTGTAAATTAAGATACAAATTAAAAGCATCTGAATTTTTAATTATATTATGTTCTGTTATTAATTATTTTGTTCTGGAATAACTGTAAACAAAAAATAAATAAAATTTAAATAATGACTAAAAGTGCGAACTTCATTTTTTACATATTTTCAGATTTTATTATTTTCTTGAACTGAATTTATATATTTTTGCTGTAACTTTTCGAGTTTTAATTGTAGCATAATAGCAATAGTTCAGTTGCTATTACATAATAATTATCACATGCACTGTTTGTGATTTCTAATGATATTTTATCTATGTTCTCTATTTTAAATTAAAGAGATTTTTTTAGATACCTAATTTGTTATCTAGTTAATATTCCATCAGCCATTCATTCAAAAAATATTTTTAATTTTGATGTGTTAAGTAAAACTGAATGTGTAATTATATTAAAAAAAATAAGAATGCTGCAGAAAATATACATTGAAAGGCTTTAAGCACATTTAAAGCACTGAACTTTCTTATGAGTTTTTATCTAATGTAATCAAGCAGCATTGCTATATTTGCGTTTTATTGAAATAAATATAAAATTTTGTATCTAGTTTTCATCACATAGTGTGATCTGTTCTGATTTCTGATCTGTTTTTAAAATTACTTATACATTTTTAGCTGGAAAAGTCACAACAAATGATGAATTAGAAGAAATGTTAGAAAGTGGAAATCCTGCAATCTTTACACAAGGAGTATGTATTTTAATACTTATTTTATTATGGTTATTATATGCTTACTTTTTCTGCTGTTATAAAATATTTGTTATTATATAATTCTTGTTTCTTTTTCATAGATCATTATGGAAACACAACAAGCGAAACAAACACTGGCAGATATCGAAGCTAGGCATGCTGATATCATCAAACTGGAGAACAGTATTAGGGAGCTTCATGACATGTTTATGGATATGGCTATGCTTGTGGAAAGTCAGGTGAGCTTCTTTCAAAATTCTGCATTCTTGATATAGCCTGTTTCTTCTAAATATTTTTTAATCATTAATCTAAATATTTGGTGCCACCCAGACAGTAATGTGGCTAATGATGCTATGTTGACTGCCATACCTATGGGCCCTTATTTAAACCTCTATGTTATGTTACGTAATGCATTACATTTCAAACAATGGCTAGCTCAGAAGGGATTCATAAGTCATCTACCTGATGAGTTAACAGCTATCTTATCATAAATGGAACACTTCAAATTTTTTAAACTTAAGGGAAAAGGTTTATTTACACTTAAGTACAAGTTAAAAGAATCAGAAATATCTGTTTAGCTACATCATACAAACATCATTCTTAGCTATCTCAACCGCAACTCCTCGTTTCTCCCTGGCGTCCCATGACATCAGTCTCTATCTGGCCTTTTATTTGTTGGCGTAATAATGCCGTTCCCAGCACTCTAAGAAGGCAATGCTGCTTGTAAATGTATAGTGTCTGTATGGCTTGAAAGCATTCAAAGTATAAGACAAGCCTCTCAAATGGTTTGGTAGTAAGGGAAGAAGGGTGGGAGCAGAACCGTAGCTAGGGTTTTCAGCGCCCAGGGGCAGCTGAAGATTTTGCGCCCCCTTCTATGTGCCAAGAATAGGAAATATTTCATTCTAAAATGTCATAATATCAAACTGGCACCCCCTAGATACTGCGCCCGGGGACAGATGTCGCCCCTTGCCCGAACCTAGCTACGCCCCTGTGTGGGAGGTCCTTAGACCTATTCTTTGGGCTGCTGGATGCTCAAGGCTTGAGTCAACGAGAGATGAATTCTTGCAGTTCTTGTCATGATGAAATCCATGGCTTTGTTCTAATTAGGTCAGACAAGTGAGGTTAGCGAAACAATATCAACTTTTTTTTTCTCTTGGAAAATGTTAATTATTTTTATCTATGCATAATGATTTAAATAACTGTCTTTGTAAATCTATAAAGTAACTGAAAAGAAATTAGTTTTAAAAACATTTCTCTTTTTTCTTTTTTAAAAAATAAAGAGTTTCATATAAAATTTATAAAATATTATGCAGTTTGTTACTATTTTTGTGAAACTTAATTCCACTTCTCAGTGTTACAGCTCTTTTACTAATATTTTATAACCATATAATACATTGACACTGTGAAAAGTATCTATGAAAAAAAAAAAAACAGGAGGTGCTTATTAAAATAATTAGCTGATGTGATAGCAGTGAATGGAAACTCTTGTAGCTTAAAAAAACTTTGAATTTCCAGGGAACATTCACAAAAATTTGAGTCTTATATTTCATTTATTTTTAGTGTTCAGCTAACATTTTATGCATTTAACATGTTGACTGTTTATTTTCATTCTAGGGTGAAATGATAGATAGGATTGAATATCATTGTGAACATGCTAGAGATTATATAGAGACAGCTGTTCAAGACACCAAAAAAGCTTTGGCCTATCAGAGTAAAGCTCGAAGAGTAAGTATAACCTTCTCTTGTGAAAATTTCAAATATTTAGTCTCTGAAGTACAGATATATTTGTAAATCGTATTTAGATTGCTTATTTGACATTTATTTTTTGATGAGATATTTAGAAAGAAATTTTATGGAAAAAAATGTTGAATAACATTTTATTCTCACATGATTACTCTTTGCTGTGCAAGCTAGTTATTTTCCTAATCCAACTGTTTAACCTTAGATATATTGATTTATATTCATATATTATATATAATATATTAATTCATATTCATATATTATATATTATATATAAATATTATATATAATATATAAAGAATAATACAGACTAGTATACAACTGTAAATTTTGTTCTGAAGTTCTAGATGTAGTATACAAAATTTTTAATCAGGGGTTTATAATTAATTTATTTACTATAATTTGTAATCAGTTTTTAATGTTTCAGTGTGCAGGATATCAAGGAATGTCATTTATCATGAAATATTTTAAGTATTGGGATTATTTAATTTTGTGTCTAATTAATGAATATAAAATTCATTCTACACAAAGAGTGAATTTTAGGGGTTAGCTGTTTAGTTTTCTGTTAGCAAAAGTCAGTTATGATGTTTTACAGAGGTTGTTCATAAGCTTTTTAAACAATTTCCATTGTATTTACAGAAATATTTTACCTAAAATTGTGTTGTAAATGTTCTGTTTGATAACCCTTATTCTTCTACCTTTATACACAATAATTTCCAGAACAAAACCTTTTGTAGTATCAGAAAAGGTATTTTATCTGATTTTCCTTGAACAGCTTTCCAAAGTCTAAAGGCTCGTCCACACGAGTACGCTTGCGACGTAGTTGACGCAACTTTTTTGACGCCAGTGTAAATTCGCGTGACGCAGAAGACGTAAAACTGAGTTCACTCCTGTTCAGCTGTTTCGCCTGTGACGTGCACGAATAGTCAATAGCCGACCGAGTTCTTATCTTGTGTCATAATCAGAAAACCTTCTTGCTTACTCGTTTCAATATGCCGTCAGAACCACACAGAGATGAATTTTGCTTAGAAATATCATAACTGTATGCAGCAATAAAATAATCAGCATTGTTCACACCATCTTCAGATTTCTTAAACCGTATATATTGGTATAAATATAAAATTCTCATTAAAGGGGAAAACTGTATATTTATAAAGCAATGATCCGACCAGTATATCCATATGCTTCACCTGTTTATAACACCGTAAGTAATAGGAACCTAAATTAATTGCAGTTTCTACAAAATCAAAGTTTCTGCCTTACAAAATTCTCCTTAATTCTTATAAATATTGGCTATATCATGTGTAATAAAAAGCTAACAACTTCTAAAATAAAGCAGTTGACTGTGAAAGGGTATTCAATAAAATACAATTACGAATTTTTGGAGGAAAGTTACAACTTGTGTCATACAGCAGTCATTTAATTAAGTGTAATTAAATTACCTTTGCAGTGACTTCTACTTGTTACATTATTTTTCACAAATACTGCTATAACAGATAGCTGAGTGGTCAGCGCGCTGCTTTGCAAATGGAACGGTGGCGAATTCGAACCTCACCCGTAGACAGTATATAATTCAGTTAGCTTTTCTCATTTTGAAACGTGTTTCTTATACTTAATCATGAATCATTATATTCTTATTTTACCTATTATTATTATTATTGTTGTTTTCATTTCTTATTTTATTCATTATTATTATTGTTTTTAATTTAATTTAAAAATGTGCATTGCAAATAGAAACCCTTATGTAATAATATATCTACATCTCTTTATCATATATCATCTATAAATTCTCTCTTTATTTTTACTTTATTGCATATTTTATCATGCACATAATTTCTCATAAACTGTCCAAAGTTTGAACCTCATTCTAATTCAAAAATAAATAAAAAGAAAAACAAAGACCAAGGGAGGGGGAGTTAAAAAAATGAAGTTGGTTTTTTAGTGGTGGATGGTGTAATAAAGAATTAAGTAATTTAATTCTCTTTATATACTGTATTTTGCATCTAATGGTTCTGTGAGACTAAAGGTGCATCCAAGAGATAATACGAGGTTTTGTTAACAATAACAACATTTATTTACAAGAAAATATACGAAAATTTCAATCAATTAGATATATTATTAGGCATCTCTGCCTTCCACGTCTTACACCTTTAGTATCCTGCCTGCCACTGACTATTAGGACGAACGCAGCGCCCTCTAGTCAGAATGACGCTGGAAATACGTAATACTCCCCACCTGAACTCACTTGAGTTCACTTACCATTGAATTTTAACTAAATTTACATTCAGGAACCATTTAAAATTACAAGAATAAAAATATAAATAGCATATTATATCAAATACAAAGCTTCAAAATTATTCAGTGACTTAACATACAAAAACCAATTACACTTTTAACTTCCAAAGAAAAAATGTTCAAATATCAAGCATTAAAATATAAGCACAATTAAACTATCATTAATACACAGATAGAACATTAACAGGTTGCAACTCAATTAAACTAACACAATTAAGGATTAATTTCCAAATTATACACAAGTTGTACTGAGCGTTTTATTTGTCCTTTAGGAGTCTGAATAAGAAGAGAACGAACTTTTCCATCTCTTCCTGGATATAGCTCTAAAATTTTTCCCATCATCCACATATTTCTGGGATAACGCTCATCATTAATCAAAACAATATCATTCACTTTAAATGAAACTATTTTACCTGGTTGTGGAGAAATATAAGCTGATCTTAGATTAAGTAAATATTCCTTTCTCCACCTGTTCCAGAAGTGATTCAAAAGTGTTTGCTGATATTTATATTTCTTTACCAAAGAATTCCTATTAACATTTAAATTTTCATTTTTATGTTTTATTACAGGTAAAGACACCAATCTTTTACCAATAAGAAAATGAGATGGGGTGAGTGGAGAGGGTTCTGAGGGTTCGTTGTACAGATACGTGATAGGCCTGGAATTAACCAGAGCTTCAATTTCCGAAAAAACAGTTTCCAATTCCTTCAAAGATAGAGAGGATCGTCCAACAATTTTCTTTAAGCAGGTTTTAACCGTTCCGTATCTGTCTCTCCCAGAAACCTCCCCACCATGGACTTTTTTCAACTATAAAATTCCAAACTATACCTTTAGAAGCAAACAAATTTTTAACTTGATCATTATCTATCTGATTCCACCATTTTTTCAATTCACTATTTGCTTTTTTAAAAGCTTTGGCGTTATCAGAATATATAGTGGAACATAATCCTCGACGAGAAACAAATCGTCGGAATCCTAACAAAAAGGAATCAGCACTTATGTTAAGAACTACTTCTAAGTGGATAGCTCTTGTCACTGCACAGCTGAATATAAGTAAATAACACTTTGAATTAAAATCACGAACAAAAAATGGTCCGGCAAAATCCACACCGCATACATCAAATGGTGGATGCTCTTGAATTCTATCAGGCGGTAAAGGGGCAACCACCTGCATTCCAGATTTCACTTCTGAATCGTCTACAAATCAGACAGTTATTTAACACTTTTTTCACAAATTGACGACCTTTAACAATCCAGAATTGTTCTCGTAAATGTGTTAAAGTTGCATCAACACCTAAATGGCACATTTTAGTATGAGAATCACAGATAAGTAGTTCAACAAATTTATCATTAGATGGAAGAAGCCAAGGATGTTTGGCTCGCATATCGTTACTTGAAAACTGTAAACGTCCCTTTAAACAAAGTAAGTTATTATCATCAAGTTCAGGATTCAAATTAAATATGCGTGAACTCTTATCGATAGTTCCTTTAGAAAGAAGTTGGGTAACTTCTGTACTATAATGTTTGAATTGAGTAGCTTTGATCCAAAAACGCAAAGCTTGCTCGAGTTCTGGAGCACATATAGGTCCATTTAATTTTGTAGAATTAGGTTTAGAATTGTGCACAAACCTTTTAATCCAAGCAGTACACACGCAGTAATCTACTTAATTCGCTGAAGTCATTAACGTCCAGTAACGACGACATAGGTAAGTTTCCATTAGCTGAACTGGTTACCATGGAATTAACCAGTGCAGTCCGTCGCTCTTTCACTATAACGCGTTCATCACAGATGTCATTAAAATGTTGTAGCGATTCTTGAAGAGGCCACGAGTAAAGTGGTTTAGACAACCAAACAGGGCCTGACCACCACAGAGAACTTGTAAGAATCCTCCTAGCCGATTCTCCTCTAGTAGTAAGGTCTGCGGGATTGTCGGAGCCACTGCAATGGTTCCAACACTCTGGTAGAGTCAGCGACTGCACTTGAGCTACTCTGTTGGCGACAAATGGTTTCCATTGTTTAGAAGATCCTTTCAACCAATGAAGGACGATTTGAGAGTCGCTCCAAAAGAAAATTTGTTTCGCGAAATTAGGAAATAGACCTTGTAAATAATTTCCTAAACGTGCAGCGAGGAGAGCTGCCATTAACTCTAATCTTGCAAGAGTCAAAGTTTTTAAAGGAGCAACTTTACTTTTTGACATTATAAAGCTCACTTTGATTTGGCCATTGTAATTCACGTACCTTAGGAACGCAACAGCCCCATATGCCTTGGGACTGGCGTCACAAAACACATGAAGAGAAACTTCACTTATTTCTACACTTTCAAAAAACCTTCTTTCAATAGATACTGATTCAAGTTCACAAAGTTCAGAACACCAGGTTCTCCATTTATTTTGTAGGTCACTTGGCAAATCTTCATCCCCATTGTAGACCACGTTCCCACATCTCTTGCAGAAGAATTTTCACAGTGATTACAAAGGGACTAATCAGTCCACATGGATCAAATATCTTTGAAATAACTCTCAAAACGTGACGCTTGGTGATTCTAGCATCAATGGAATCCCTAACATCTCTTAAATCTAATTTAATTTTATCCTCAATCGGATCCCACTTCAATCCCAAGAAACCTGTTCCTTGCCCGAAGTCAGTATTTTCCTCATATCCGTTTTCATTCCAAAGTTTATACAATTCC